ATGCTTTTCAACCCTTACATGTAACAAATTTAGTATAATAAAATTATATAGTTTCGAATTGGACGAGCAACAATTTCTACGGACAATTAAGAAGGCCCTTGTAGGAAAGTTTAGCTTGGTCGTACACCATTGTAGAAAATTGTAGACGTTTGAGGCATAAATAGTTGTAGTTTATCATAATATTTCGTAATTTAAAGATTTATAGTAAAGTACATACAACTTTGAACAATTATCAAGGATATTGTACAATACTGTCCCAATCCCAGTACTATGTTGTAAAAAATTGTAGTATTTAAACATAGTGGAGNATAAAGAAATGTTCACAAATTTTATAAAGTACCAGCAGTATTCTAAGGGTATCATTCTCTTACTTGTGATAGGTAAACGGGTTAGTAGATGTATTGTTACAGCAACAAATAATAAAGTAAAAGACTTACAATTATGACTTTATATTTCAAAACACTGTTAAATAATAAATATGAAAATACCTACTACTAATTTATAATCAACGAACAAATACAAAATTAAGTAACTTATCCTGATAATTCTGAGAGTTAGGGAAGAGAATTAAACTCCCACTCCTTCTGATAGTTCCTATGTAAGGACAAAATTTGTAAACATAGATTAGGTTTTATGTGAAATTTTTAAAGAAGTTGCAGTGTGTGCGAAACGTGAACTTTTTCATGTTGCCTATATACATATACATATTGTAGCGAGCACGAGCGTATTTGTGTGCGATCGGGCATACGTGTGTGTGAGAGGCTTATCGATTCGCCGACTAGCCGCGGACGCTTTTCTTCATGTGCACCGTATCTGTAAACGTGTGTGTCGTATCTGTGTTTCGGGAAAGCAATTAAACAGTCCAAAGAAAACGAAACTTTTCCGGACGGCTCGAGAAAGTTCCCGAAAGAGACTAGAGTATTTAACGGTAGAGACGATCGCCAACAAGACTATAAATAAATTGACCGTTGTAGAAGTGAATCTAGAAACAAATTGACAGCGTAGTGAATAGTGATATAGTAACAGTACTGTAAATAAATAGAGTAATTCATCACTTAAGTTAGTAATAATTTAATAGTGTTTTTAATTCATTTAATAATAATTAGTGTAAATAAATAGTTTTTGTCGTTCTAAGTCTTAAAAGTTAAATTTTGTTAAACCCACGAACATTACAGTATAGTTGTATTGAAACATACTAAATCGGTGTTTTATATTAACATGATCATAATTTTCACCAAGAAACTGTAGTTTCAATTACCTTTATCAATAACGATATATTATGCACCAAGCGAAGAAAGTATGTATTGCCTTGCCACCCGAACCGAAACCAAAGGTGGTAAACTCTAAGGAGAATGCTATACTATCTTCTCGAACTCCGTAACACTAGTTTTTATCGTACCCCTGCCCCGAAAGTAGATATTCCTGATTTCAAGACCGAAAGCGAAATATAAACTCCCTCATTTACTGCTTCTTAGAAAAGTATTTTTAACTTCCACCGCGTAGAAATTGCCGTCCGAGCCGAAACGAGGGAGGAAACCAAGCGAAAGATGGTAAAATCCTTTCCTAATAAACAGTAAATGCGATTTCCTGCCCGGGAGGGGATGTTGTGCGTTAGTTCCTAAAATCAGGGTTTGCGGCATGGCAACAATCGCATTTACTTCTTATTAAGAGAGGATTTTACCACACTCCACATGGTTTTCGTCCTCGCCTTCGGCTCAAGTGACAATTTTCACACAGAAGATTAGTGATTTACAACGCAACATTTCTTGTCTTGCTTGTTGGATTTTTGTCCTGCCTTACTTAGCAAGACAAATGGTTGTTTTACTTCTTGTTTTATTAATTTCTTGCTGGACATGGGGAAATTCCCAGTCTGATTTGTCTAAATTCGTGGAAAAAGGATTTTGACAGAGAGTGGAATCTAAGTATGCGTGTACACTTACATTTACATACATTGTACACCTCACACGTTATGTTAATTCTTTTTATATATATAATATATGTAGGTATGTATATATTGGAATATCGCAGATTTAAATTTTGTACTTTTTAATTAATTATTTACTGTAGTGCAAGTTTTCAGTTAAAGGTCTACGCTAAAACTTGCGTGCTTTCAATTTTTATTTTGAAACATTGCACTGCCCTAGCTTTCATTATTGGGTTTTGGGTGAATAAGCAAATGTGTCCGTATAGATATTTAAAATATAATAATAATGCCTCTTATTATAAACACAAACTCAAGAAAATAAGCATAAGCAAGAAATAATAACCAAATTAAAATATTTTAATAAACAAAAGTTAATAAACTGAACTAGGTAACACGGTTGTTGGTTTACGTCCGACATATTTAATTTAACGTTTCGGATTTGGTTGTACAGATGCATTACATTTTGTCGAAGGACCAATAATGTATAAGACGCGTTGTAAAATAATTTCTTTTCAAATTACTAACTAACGTTCTTAATATTATATATAAAAGAAATTATGAGTTCTGTCAGCACAGGGCAAAATAGTATTACGTAGTTAGTATCAGCAATTTCTTACGCTGAAGTGTACGATGTGTTACATACCTATTTACAAACAATTCCTTTAAATTTAATTTTTCAGACAATTTTTAACACAAAGGAAGTGATTAAACGAATTGTTTACAAAAGTGAATTTCGACCACTCGAAGCAATGGTGCTAAGTTTCGAGCTCACAGTGACTGATAGGAGGTCAGAACTAGTTTAACTTATTTAATTTAATTTGTATTATAAAAATAGCTACTGTCAAAAGGAGAACAGAAAGTTATTTTCGGCTAGTCGAAATAGAAACTGATATAAACTTTCATTTGTACAATAAGTAGCATCGGTTCTCCCTACCAAACAATGATATTATTGTCTGTACACAATAATGACGGCATAAACCAGAGTGACTACCCTCTTTTGTAGGTTTCAAAAATTGACCTCAAGGGTAGTAACCTTTATAAAGTATTTCTCTGTACAATAAACTAATAAACCATAAACAAATTTCCAAAGTCATGCGTCACCAAATAATGTTCGTGATACTTAATAACGGTAGAGTTAAATAATAATAAAATGGAAAATTGTGGCTAATGATCAAAGCTCCGTACACTTCGCACTGTCAACCTACGTGACCATCTAGATCTCCAGTCTGTTGAGCAAAACATCACATACACTCTTTAAAAAAAAACCCAAAGCTTTTAGGTGTTTCATTCCCACTAGCCAATAATGCTGGTGTGCGGGTAATCCCTCCAGACTAGCCGGAAAGTGGGACGGAAGGCCCTCTTCAGCCTCCTTTCCGGAATCGTGGGAATGGGTGGTTGGTGGTTCGGGTGAGATAAATGAGACAGACGAAATGAATATAGAAGAGAATGAAAGCTTGTCTGTGGAATATTACTGTCCCAGCATTTGCCTAAGTGATCCAAGGAAACCGCAGAAAAAGATGGACTAAGGCAGATGGACCCGGAATCAAACCGACGCCCTCCCTAATGTTAAGCAACGGTCTAAAACTGGGCCATGCCGCTCGGTACACTCTTTGATTAGTAGCTACCCTTTTATAGCGTTAAGAGCCTAGGAAAATACTAGCCCTCAGTCATGTATAGCTCAATGTTTACCATCATCAGCTGTTTTACTTTTCTTTTTTTCATTATTAAGCCGTTTATTATGGTGTATGGCATTTTTACTTTATTATTAGTGGGATTACTATTAATTTGCGTCCAGCTCCTGAGAAGTCAGTAATCGTTATGTCAGTTATCCATACAGATCCTGCCGTACACAACAGCCTTGTAGAAGCCGTAGTAGGTCAGATGTATGGGTACTCTAGCAGAAAGCTACAGAGTACTGGTGCGTCAAATCAGGGGTCAGGATTCGATTCCCGGCAAGGTAGTGATATCAGCAACAACTTTTCTTCATTAATTTGAGGTTATCTGTATGAAACATTTCGGGGAATGTTAAAATGGTTTGGTAGTAGGTAAACAGTAAATACGATTTCTTACTTATGAGAGAGAGTTATGTTGCATTTTCTCATAACTGAAATCTGAAACAGGGCAGGAGTGTGGTAATAAGTTGTATACAGTCCTTGGGAAGAAAGTACGGCAATTATCCCTTCCGGAAGTTTACCACCCTAGCTCTCGTCTCGGGTGGCAATTCGCACTCGGGAGGTATTGCCATTCTTTCTCCTCTTAATGTGTAAAATATTTTTTTAAACTGACTTATCACATCGCCTCAAATTTTTTCGTCCATCTATCGCATGTCGCATTACAGCAGAGTAGGGGTAAAAGTGAAGGGCGTTCGGCAGAGCAGCCAACGTCAATATGGTGGCGGCCATGGCTCGCATGAGCCAACCGTGTAGCATTCATATTCTCACTGATTCGTGCAAGTGCATGACAATTACATTTATAGACTGTGAAACTCAAAGCGAAGATGAAATTATTGATAGAATAACTGAAATTCAAAATGATTCAATGATTTATCTTCTGAATGATTGTATTTATTATGTATTCCGTACTCTCATACGCAGATTGAAATTAAAATTTTTAGTTGGATATCTTGACTACTATTGATTTCCCATTATCATTCCCATTTTCCAATCATTAAGATAAGATTAAGAACGCGATTTTAATTTTTATATCCTAAATCGAATAATTTTCCGAAAATTTACAGTTAAATGCCTATAATCCGAAAAGTTTCATTTGCATCGTGGTTTCATAAAACCACACAATCGTTTTTTTTTTTTGCTGTTCGTCAAAATTCAATTTTTGAAGTTTCGTCAAATAATTTCCAAAAAAGGCTAGTGAAAAACAAGCAGACGTCATGGTCACGATTCTCAGTTATTACATAAGTGTCATTTAACCGGCTACGATACGGAACACTAAGTACTTACCACATTAAGATAATTATTTTGAAATTAAAATAGAATAGTAAAACAAGATGGTACAATGGTGTACTACAAATGCAATTCATCGATAATATACATTTTAAAATAATATCAATAAGAAAAGATCATTTTAAATTTTCTGAAACCAGGACATTTAAATGCGACTTTTTGCTTTCATGGCGAAGAGCGTTGAGAGCTGCACAACAGAAAGCACATAAGAAAAAGTTCTCAAAGTCCTGAACCGTGCTGTCTTTCCTGTCGAACATATCATGTGATATAAGGAATACCAAGGAGTAGGTAACAGCAGCGAGAGAGCACCATACATTAAAAGGTTCCTCCAAAGAGGCCACGGCAAGGGACATGCAACAACTACCTGTCAGCATCGAATTGAAATAATTCGAATCGTTTTTGTTGATTTCCATTAGTTGAACCATCAAAGGAACCACACATAAAGCCGAATGTAACCAGGATAATATACGATCGTAGCGCAGCATCAACCAAATTTCGGTAGTTAAAAAAGGAAGTGCAACAAGCATTTGCAAAAATGATGTCGAATCGTGCACTTCTGACAAGAGAGTATTATGAACGAATTTGACTCCTCCACAACATTTACTAAGGCCCACCATTGAGTTCATGAATATTGCAAGGAACGTCCCTAGCGGTAAAAAATCGGGAAACTCCCTCAGATAGGACAGCAGACAGTGACTACTTACTATTGTCAATACTACATACGAAAACGCCATTTTTATACCAAGTAATTAAGTACACGAAATACTGAAAATTTTGTGACTTACATTTAAAACTATAAGTTGACACTTTATCCTCCCATGCCAACTTTAACATCCATACTGACAAGGAACCATAGATAATATTCACCAAGTAAAGGTAATAATTTTATTAGGAACTGACCTAGGGTTCCTAAATATGTATATAAAGTACCACAGTATATGGCTTCACTTTTTGGAGTGGAAATGGTCGAATTTGTCAATTGATTCTTAAATAAACTACAGATAATCTCAAAGTAATTGTTAATTAACCCACCCTACAATAAATTCAAAACTGTCTGATTCGTAACTGTCAATAATATCATCGTAATAGTACTTCAAAAAATGGAATTCTGACTTTAAAAAAGCTCATCCATCGCAAATTCACGTGACAGGAAAAGTGTTGTAATGTGTGTTTTAGTTAAAACAATAAAATTAATAATTAATATTTTAAGAAAGATGATTTTTAATTTTACTTCCAGCTGTTGATATATCAAATACCGATAATGTTCATTTATTTAAAAAAACTCATAGAATCTAACTACTATATTTTAGGTTGAACGATTCTTTCTATATTTTCCTGATATAATTGTGGTACCTATATTCTTAGTTAGATAGTGTCACATGTATGTAGGCAACCCAACACACATAGTGTCAGAGAAGACCAGGTTTTAGACGTCATATACTGGATCATTCTACAACACGACCAGTCTCTATAAAAAGCTGTCGCGAGATGGAGTGTAATTAGTACGAATCAAAGAATTCAAAGCGATACAAAGCGAAGAAATGAGAATTATAGTGGTGAATTGNTCTGGTTGTTTTTTTTTTTTGTTTTCGTGGAGGAGAGGAAATCTTCAAAAGACACCCGGCCGCCCGCGCGACCGGGTAGTGTCGGATTCATCACGGAGGACGCCTACCGACTAAAACCTCTCCCCCTCAGGCCGTTCTAGGGCCGCGAGGCCCTCTTCAGGCGCGTGGTGTTGTTCTTACTATTTGTGTAATATTTTTAGTAAGATGAATTTCTGGTTGCGCTGGGACCAATATTTATACCAACCTGAGGTAATGAAAAGGGGTGGAATGTAGCGGGGTTGAAGGTGGGGTGATGAAGTGGGGTAAAATTGGTTAAAGAATGAACGAATGTGGGATAACGGGTACTTAGGGAAAAAAAATTAAAAAAAATGATGCTGGGAACGAACGTGGCATACTCGAAAACCTAGGATTAAAGAGCAAGTCTGTACGATAACTAGAAGAGAAAAAAAAACAGAAATTGAAGGAAAGATAAAATTTATCGTGCGGGAAATAAGTAAATAAATAAATAGAAAATAAAAAAGGAAATAGATATCTAGACAAAAAACCAGTGAATGAAAAAAAGAAAAATATTAAAAGAATTGAATAAAGTTTAGTTTTCGAAATATGCCTCATGTAGGGGTTGTTGTTGGTAACGGTGAAACTTGTCGGACGGGTTGGTAAGGGAAGTAGGTAGGTAAACAGACCGGTCGACTAGTCTGGGTTTCGTGGAACAAATTTTGCATGTACTTTCCTACCAGGTACAACAGTATAAGTATTACTTAATCCAAAAAAAGGAAAGTTGCGCAATAATGTGAATTTAATTAAAATTATCTGAAGCGTTGTACCTTTTCTCTACGTACACAAAAAACCCTTNCGACCAGTCTCTATAAAAAGCTGTCGCGAGATGGAGTGTAATTAGTACGAATCAAAGAATTCAAAGCGATACAAAGCGAAGAAATGAGAATTGTAGTGGTGAATTGATAACTAATAAATAATAGAAGTGTTAAGCCGCGATTCGGAAGTTTTACCATTTGACATGACAGTACTATTATCGATCTTTGTGTTTTTGTTATAAATATCTGTTTGATTACAAAGTGAATCTTTCATTTGTTATTTATATATATGTAATATGGTTGTATGCTGTCAACGCGTTTGATTCATTTACAAAAAATTAAACAAACAATTATTTATTGTCGAATTACTATGGAAATTGTCAGTTCATCTGCTCGTACTGGTTCTACAAGCAGATTTATCTGTTATATTAGGGGCTGTAACAATAAATCAAATAAAAATTTAGATCTTTTCTTACATTTTTCGCCAAAGTCTGGTAACAGTGTTGTAAAAATCAAAAAAATATTTAGAATTTTGAAAAATTAGACAAATTAAAAGCATTTAAACGCGTTTTTAAACTAAAGAGTATTACTCTGAAGATGAGAATTTGACACTGATTTCATATTTCATATTACATAAGTAAACAAACAAAGATGAGAATAGTGAAGCAGTAGACATCCGATAATTTTTAATTTTGTATACTTATTAACAGATAAAAAGAGAAAAGAAAATTTAAAAAGTCGTATAAAGGACACGATTTTTACTAATCTTTTTTTAGTAATTAGAAATCAACCTCTAAATATTTAAGAACTATTAGTTGTCTTCTGCCGTCAAAATTAGAAAAATTTTGATTTTGATTTCAACTTAAAATATACGTAAATTACCATGATTAATAATGTTTTTTAAAACTGCCCAGTTAAAAATATTACTCAATGAAAGAATTACATTATCCAAATAACTGTCACTGATTCAAAATACAGGTATTTATTTTAAATTCGGAGTCATCCATATTAATTGAGTCACTCCTTCATGTCAGTTCCCAATAGTTTTGAGTAAATAAATCTTTTTCAATGTATTTTTTATTTCCTCTCCATCAGTTTAAGGATTCCATGCAATGTTTCCAACTAATACCGCTATTAGTTTTTATTTAACAGTAACATAAAGAAATTTAAATTGATATATATTATACATAATTCTTATTTATCCTTTGGGTTACCAAACCTTCTATTCCCACAAGCAACTTTATATTGACGAAAAAATAAAGTTGCAGGTATGGGGATAGCCAGGAAGTATGGCGAATAAGGCAACAGGAAACGTGGTGGCAGCAGTAAAAGCTTTGAGCCGAGTTGCCACCGTTATACTAAAGGCGTAACGAACAACTATTAATCAAAATTACGATTATTCACTCATCTTTACACGGCATAGCTTCGTGTTATCTGGGGTAAACGTTCTAAACACCAACGACAAAAGCTGCACTGACACCCACTTATCGTCATTAGTTCTCATGAAAATACCCCAAATGCACGTTGCTATATTTTAGAATTACGTATGCTCCAACAAGACCCACTTTTAATATATGGACATCTACTTGCTGAAACGAATCCCGGCGTAGCTAACCTCAACGTGATAGGCGCGTTACCATAATCGTATAAAATAATTCCAAGTGGTCTATATTCTGTCGAAACTGCCAGACGCGGATTGCGATTTCGATCTTTCTGGATCTCATCAGCGCGTCGCAGACAGCTCCGACAGAACACAGACCAACTTTTACCTGCTGTCTTAACAGCGCGTTTTAGAAAATACCACAAATGACGCGGTAAACGCCATCTGTAGTACGATGCTACATTTTAGGATTACGTAATCTCCAACAAGGTCGATTTAAATATATTGATATCAACTTGCTGAAACGAATCCCGGCGTAGCTAACCTCAACGTGATAGGCACGTNCGCAGTCTCCTCGCCATAACGTGCAAAATTGTAAAACTGAGATTCCATGGTAAATCCACTTGTTTCCGGATTTGCTTCTTCTGCTTCGGTTGCAGTTGCCATTTTTGATGGATTTTTTTTATTTCAAAGTTTACGATATGATACGATGCTTATTATGTGTGTACACAGTAGGTTTCATTTTTAAAGAATTAATTCTATGTTTAAGATAAAATTTATAAAATTCATTTTGTTTTAGATTACAGAAAAGTAGTCAATTAAAATGTCCAACATCGAAAGAAAAGAATATCAAGAAACCAAAGTCTTGAGGACTAGATCGCCCATGCGAAATACGAGATCAACACAGAATTTAACTGAATTTGATCACAACTTAGGTAAATGCAAAATAACTACTCAATAGCAAGGTATAATACTACAGATTTAACTGCTCATTTATAAAAAAATCCAGTGGTTCTTCATTTTAACGTTTCGGTCATTATTATTAATCAGCATATTCCAGGAGGACCCGATTGTTTATGTACAAATAATTTTAGATAATTTACTCGAAGATCTGCAAAACTCTGTTTCCAGACCAAGTAGTTCATTAGGAAAAACCTACAATGGAATTGAATCCAATCGAAGTAACTCCCTAAATCGAATATCCCACATGAAGCCATCGAATCCAGTGACAGAATATTCTTCTGATGACGCATATTCATATACGGTTCGTAAACAAGAGCTAGGACAAACGAAACTATTCTAAAATAACATGAAAGTACTTACATACATACACATTTAATTTTCGCTAAAATTTTTCTTAAATTCTGTTATTCTTGTCGTAACTCAAAATGGTTAGCAATATTTTAATTTTTTAATGATCCACTTTAGTCACCAGATGGATTAAAAAGCGTCAAGAGTTATAAAAAGGAATCTTATTCATATAACACCACCGGAAGAGATGTACCAATAGAAAGAAATCGAGTGCAAAATAATATTAATCAATTGGATTCTTTATTAGATGATCTGCAGCAAGTTAAAAAGGGAGGTAAGTAACAAATGATGGTATAGCTAGTTCAAAATCTCATGAACCTTCGCATTGTACATTATGAAAACATTAACTTGAGTCTTAACCACATGCTGTGCTACACAACCAGGGAAGAAGCTCCAGTTAAATTGAAAAACAGTAACGGTAAATGTTTTCAAGAAGTAGAAATGTAAAAATTAATGATACGGCAGAATTTTATTACTGTACAACTAATATTGCCACGCGACAAGACAAATTGTACGTATCGTCTTGCTTATGTTTTATCTCGACTTGACAGAATTTTATCGCGATTTTGGAGACGAGAGACTCGGCTTTAATTAGGACGATCAAAATTGGCAAAGTACGCAATAAATTATCTGTGAGAATGGACGTATCTTCCTTCTTGTTTCCACTTCGGATTGTAGTTATTTGATCCGTTTTGAACACGCCCATGTTAAGTTAGGAAATGCTTCATGATTATACTTCGTTTAGTTTCTTTAGCGATGTGACCTTTAGTTTGACCGGCGCAAAGTAGAAAAGAACAGCACTAAGCCAGAAAAGGAAGGAGACAACTCTCGGCCAAACTCTTGACCGATGAGGAGCGTATAATCCGTACAGTACTGCACGGAAAAATTGACCATTTTATCCACTAAAATTGCATTGCTCAAATGTGCTGTTATTGGTACCATTTAGTACTAAAAATATCAACGAAATGTTTATTTATATTTGAAGACATATTAAAGGCTTTAACGCTTGTTTTCGACTCCTACTACTATTAGCTCGATCTAATGTATGTATGAGAAACACATCATACGAGACGTAACAGAGACGAAACGAGACAAAAGTTGATTTTCTCGTCTCGTCACGTCTCGCGGCAACACTATGGACTACACAATGCTAAGGTTCATGAAATTCTGAACTATCTCTAAGATATTTTGAAATTGAAGTAGGTACGATGATCTTATAATTATTTAGATCAAATGTTTCAAGAATACAAAAAGCGTAATGAAGACAAATATGAATATATGCAATAAAAATCAATATCAACTCATTTTTCTTTTCTCTAGGTATTTTAACCGATGACTCTGGAATCGATTCAGGACTACTGTAAGTTGGAGTTAATAAATGACTTGTTCGTTTGCTAATGTAACAAAATTGCAGCGAAGGCGACAAAAACAATTACGTTTCAAAGAAAACAGTACAACGAGAACTACATTATGGCGATACGCCCCCAAGACCTTCCTCTAGATCTGAAATGTTTGAAAAACAAGAAAGATATGAAAAGACGGGTTCTTTGGGAAGAGAGTCTCGATTGTCTGAAGGTACATTTATATCTTACTTGATACACTCAACGATCTATATTATTTTAATGATCTTTATTCAAATTTGTAAATAATACAAAAAAGTCCAATTGATGTTTCAGCATACAGTTTTCATTTTAAAAAATTACATCATAAATTGCAGGTATTTATGGTGAGACTAGGCATGTTCGTCAAAGAACTCCGTCCCCCATACATAGCAACACATCAACGTTATCTCGACAAAAGAAGGTCAGTAATGTTCACGAATATCCCGTTAAAGTTTTCGAAACGACCGCTCCCGACATTGAGCCGGAAGTTTTAGCTAGTCTCGATCCAAATCTTCGACCACCCGGAAATACTAAAGTCACTACCACGATAAAAACTTATACCTACGAAATCCCAGGTGACACACCAACTTCCGATTCTGAAAGTCGCACGGAAAAGTATCTTTATTCTAACGACTCCCAAACGACACCTAGTAAGAGCTTCGTTTATAATAAAGCCGAGAACGTTTCAAATAGAAGTGAAACTCATTACCCTCCCCAACAACAAGACTGGACGTACAAAGAAGCTAAACTTGATAAGTTTTCGGAAAAGAAAGAAATCGTACATCCACCAGAACCGCAAAGTTGGACTTACAAAGAAGCTAAAATCGACAAATTTTCAGAAAAAAAGGAAGTCGTTCAACCACCCGAACAGAACTGGACATTCAAAGAGGCTAAAATCGATAAGTTTTCAGAAACTATTCAACCTTATCAAAAGCCTTCTCCGCCTGTGGGAGAAACGACTCTTTTGAAAGAAACCATAAACACTCGTAATTATCAACCCGGATATCAGCCAGAACCTTTCCAACCAGGAAGACAAAAAACTGAATATTTTTATAATGAGAACGTTATCACCAGAAATTATCAAAATGGTTATCCACCTCAACATGAACCTACACCACCCGTACAAAGGAAAGAAATTTACATTCACCACGAAACTCACACAAATAAAAACGTCCAAAATGGATATCCACCACAACCGCAACCGGAGAAAATAATCAGTTACAATAGGGAGGATAGAATTGAAAACATCGATCATAGAAAACCACCACCCACAACTATTGAACACAAGTACATTTCGCATACGACGGATACGTATAAAAGTGGATATCCGAAAAGTCCAGAATCAGAACCATTGTTACGACCTCAACCTTTCCCAACTACAGAAATCGATGGTCCACCAAAGAAGCTCGACGATCTAATGGCCACGATTGGAAACGAGGTACGATATTCATTTGTTGTATAATAATAAATCACTTGCAAATGTACAAATGATACTCATTATGGTTTCCTTTTTATTATTTTAAAAATGTTAGTATATTTTCATGTTCATATTTATGGTAACAACATGCAAATAAGATATTACAGGTGTGTTCCGAAATATAACTCTACATACTGGCCAGTGCTGATGACGTTATAAATCGGCGCCATATTGTACTGGTGTGCCACCATATTGTACTAGTGAGACAAATGTGATGTAGTAGTATATCAAACGGGCGTGTGTGCATCAGACTTTGAGGAATTTTTTATTGTAAGAAACTTTAATAACTTTTAGAGCAAAATTACTGTAAACGAGCACAAACACTATTGTCAATATGGCGTCAATTTGACATCAATGCACTGGCCAGTATATTTCGGAACGAATCAACAGTATGGCGTCGATTCATTACGTCATCAGCACTGGTCAGTATGCTGAGTTATGTTTCGGAACACACCCTACATTATCTTACAGTTTAAACAAAAAATATATTTTTGTTGTTACTAACAAATATAAAACGAATTTATAAAAACCGCCAGTGGCAGATTCAAAATGGGAGGGTTTCGGGTACGCCTTTTTACCTTATTGGGGATTAGAAAAATCAAAATTCGACGTCTATTTTCAGTCAGCGTATAACTTCGGATAAAATGATCAAATCGTTAGAGGATTATAATCAAATCATTAGAAGATTGTCTCGAATTATGTCCAAGATTTGATATGAGAATGAGCAATCAATCAGATTATTCGCTTGGGGAGGAATAAGTTTTATCATGCATAAAAAGGGCAGAAATTTTCTTCCTCAAAATTCTACATCCGCCCCAGAAAAACACAATAGTTCAGAATTCTAGTTGTACAAATACTTACCTAAATATAATTTCTTTATTAGCCTCCTGACAGTCCACTGAATGCTGGTTTTAAAGCACACGAAGCCGAAATAGTTCAGCAAAAAAAAGTTGAACATTTGAAGCAACAAGCAGAGGAAAAGCCGCCTAAAGAAAAGCCAAAAAATTTACCAGCAACTAAAAATATTACAGGACCTCCTGTGTATTACCCCCCTGGGCATGAAATGTTCGCAAAGAAAGAAGAAGCTTCAGCTTCAATGAGAGCAGAGGTAAATTATTTACATACACTTATAAATTCTGAAAAAACTGTATTATAGTCATCTACTAAAAAAGTTTATGTCCCGTTTACTCTTTCGGAACATAACGCTTTTAACTACATCACTATACTCCAAGTGTTTAATACATATAAAACAAATAACGTGCAAGTATACGTATAAACAAAGAGCAATAAACGTAAATTCGTGTCAAAGATCATCGAAAATAAAATAATTTGATAAGTTTGTTCTTAAGTCCTGACTAAAATGTTTCTAATTTTCTAGGTTAAACATATACCATGAAAGTAACTACTGCCCTTTATTATTACTATGAACAATTTACTTATGATACGACCATTAAAGCATGTTGATTTGGATTTACCAAACTGTTTTACTCATGTCGAGAGGCCGAAATGATATTCCAGTCGACGACATACAACTCATTTCAAACAGTTAGAAATAAGTTCTTTCCTTTTCCTGGATGCGTCGAAATGAAAAAATTCAAACCATTTCTACCTTGCTCACGCTGGTTTCCTCAAGATCACATCTCTAATCGTTTGAAATGAGTTATAAAATGAATTTTTTCTATCCCTCGAGAACGGTATCTTCTTTTATGTAACCCTGTAAATGTACAAAATTTCATGATGATCGGTTAATAATTTAAGACGTGAAACGGTAACCAAGGTGACATTTTTAACAATGAGACATTTAGAAGAATTTTTGAGTTCGTTTCAATACATTAAAGTGAATCAATTTTTTTCTTCATTGGTTTGAGATTATCTGCAGTGGTAAAAAAATGAATTCACTTTACATATTAATTAGAATAGTTAAATTTATGTATTTATTTATATTAAACGGCCAGAGTATAATAAAAAATTAATCCATTAAATCTGAAAAAGCAGGATGTGCGTCTTGTGTTGCAAATTAAATTTTATTTTACTTTTTATCTTTCAGTTTTCGATGAATTAAATATCGCAATAAACAACCGAATTTTTTCCAATATTTAAACAATTTCGCAAAATAAAAACCAAAAAAATCCATATTCAAATTCTTGTAGAACTATGTCACCTTCCCTCCCTCGCCTATCCCACCAAACCCGAGATCATATCATCTGCACAAATACCAATAACTAATTTAACGTCTATACTTTTTTTTAGGGAGGAATGGCACAAGCGGGCGGAAAATATGCTTATGAAGCCGAAAGTAAAAGTAAATCAAAATCAAAATCAGGCGCAGCTATAGTTCCTGTATGCCTTCCTTTATGTTGTGGACTACCTTGTGTCATATTATAATTTTAAAACTTATTTTAATTACTAATTTAGCAGCTCATTATTTCTTGATTGTTGTTTATTCTTAAACAAATTACACAATGTACTCATAATTTGTTATTAACATTTCCCGGTGTTAAAATGTATAAATTACGTGTCCAATTTAACTCGTTACCTATTTAATTAATTTATTACTATGATAGAAATTGTTTTACAAATTATATTAATATCTTGCCAAAATAACCAGAAATGTGCAATTATAGATATTGCTAATGATCATGAGTAAAAAAAAATAAGATTGTATTTTTTTAATAAAAAATAACTAACTACAAAGTTCTTTCATTTCTTAATTATATTCAATTGCTGCTTTGATGTTTGTCCTGATGTTTGCTTTCTATAAGGCCTATCAAGTGGCAATCTGCTTCCAACAGAGTTAAATCCTTTTTATATCCCAAAAAACGTGACGATAGTTCAAGGTCTTTTATTAAAATCTTTACTTTTGCCCCTCTTATGTATTTCCTATAAAATGGCTGGTTAATTAACACCCTTTTGCAGATCTAATCTCACTCACTCTGCTTGTTTTTTCGGTCGTGGACAAACACAGTGAAATTTCCAACCAAAATCTATGTACAAATCATCCTCAACGACATGAAATATTTTACCTTGTGCAATTTTTCCTTCGGGATCTCCTAACTGAAAGCAAAGTAGTCAATGCCATCATCAGTGTACATTTTTAGAAATATTACATCTATAAACTTTGAATTTCTAAGCAGAGCAGAAAAAGTCATTTTCTCTTGTTGATTACTAGGTTTTCGTATATTTTGTTCAAATTTCTCAAAAGCCTTAGCATAACCTCCTATCCTGTCTTTTTTGTCGTCAGCAGTCTGGCTTAAATAATTGCAATGTAGAACTGGTCTAACATTGAAAAAAAGCCGGTAATGTTTTAACATAGACATTATAAACAATTACAGGTGCACTATTAACTAATTCCTTCGATTATATTCTTTGGTAGTGCAATTACTTGCACAACCACCATCCTATTCATGACTACTTCCACTACTTCCATAGACTACTTCAACAATAATGAATATCAAGCATCTATGACATAACCGACATAACATTTCGACCATTCTATGATTGTGGTATTCGATGGGAGTTCATAGATGCTGGGCTTTGATGAATATGTGTTGCTTTCGATTAAATGCACTTATAATTAGATAATGATAAGTTAGATAAGTTGAACATAATAGTACTACGAATACATGACTATGAAAGAGAGAGGATAAGTATTGCCACCAGAATATTCTATTCAGTAGCGTAACTAAAGTTTGTACAAATTACTAATATATGTTTACTAAGAGAGACATACATACAATTTATGGAATTTAAGCTATTTCTATAATGTAAATAGTGCCACATAAAACTTTTCAAATTTTAATTTGTTTATTTCACAACAATAAAAAAACCACTCGTTTTTTTGAAGTGAAACTTCTTTACTTACGGTAGGGTAAATTCGTTTCATGCGAGTTGCTATGTAACGAAATCATGCAATGGATGTCCCCCCTCTACTCGGCCACGTAGTCGAGTTCGTAGTGGTTATCGCTTGAGCCGCGAGCGCGCTTAAATGCAACGTTCGTTACAGGCAACTACGGCATGTATAGTGTTGTAGCCCTAACAAAATGTATGAATGTATTTGTATGTGTTTGTGTATGTGTGCCTACACTCTACCAGAGAAGACTCTACACTCGAAACGACGCCACCGTCGCCAATTCCTTAACCCCTATCCCGGTATGTTTGTGTTTTTGAAGAAGTTTCACTTCAGTAGCGTGTTGTATAACATGAGGATTTTAAACGTCTTGTCCATTGCTTTAAGCAATTGGAAACATAATTCAAACTGTGAACGCTGCCTGCTTGTACTTTTATTTAAGTAGTGCTACTAACATTAAATCGATTAAATTGAATTTTTTAAGAGAAGATTTCTAATTTATGAAACAATAAGATTTCGGTAAAACCTCTGTATCACAGCTTTTTCGATAAAGCCGCGATCCGGAAATTTTACCAATTTTTCTTGTTGGAAATGGCTTAAAATGACCTAATCATGAAAAACTTACATCAGGAGTTTAACCGTTAATGGCAACTACCAAGATAAACTATTAAGTGTAAAAAATCAAATAAAAACTACTCAAAACACTTTCATCTCGATTATTTCATGTGTTTTTCTTGATTTGGTCATTTTAAGCCATTTTGAAAATGAAAAAGTAACATGTTGTTAGGCATAGATGTTAGGAGTCTCTATGGAGTCTCTGTTACCTTTTGTATATCTATTATCTATGGACTCTGGCCATATCAATATATCCATAGAATATATCAATGATTATGAAATTGTCAATAACAGCTGTCTTATAAGAAATTGTGTTAATTAGAAAAATATTTTTTTTCTTAAAATTGTTTCAAAGTACATAATTTCATTAGTGAAGCAGCATTAACGATGGGAGACAGTAATGATGGCGAAAAACAACCATTACTTCAACTTGATCAACCTGAATCCCAATACGGAGATACGAACGGTAAATTTTCTTTGTTATTAAACAGTACAATTACTAAGGATAAAGAAAATTGTGAGTCATTCACGCATTCGTAATTTAATTTGTAATTTTCTATAGAAACTCATACTACTGTTTCCCCAATTGGTCCTGATGAATTACCTCCACCCTTTTACCAAAACACCACTTCAACAGGAATAAATGTTCCCATGGTGACTTGTCGGGTATGCCAAGCAATGATTGATATTTCTGGCAAGCAAGATCAGCATGTTGTGAAATGTAGTCAGTGTAATGAAGCCACTGTAAGTAAATTTGTATGTGGCATTTTCCAGTTGGATTTTTCTGCCATTTATGTTTTAAGCCTATAAGGAATGCACCACCAGGAAAAAAGTATGTGAGGTGTCCTTGCAATTGTCTTCTAATATGCAAGAGCTCCTCGCAACGAATAGCATGTCCAAGACCAAACTGCAAACGGATAATAAATTTAGCTCCAAGTCCTGTTACACCTCCAGTTCCTTCGATGCCTGGAATGTGTAGAGTTACCTGTGGACATTGCAGAGATACCTTTTTGGTAAAGAAATTTCCATATATTTATTTGATACCTAGTTGTTAATTAAAAATTTATTTGCAACCTTTTTACAGTTTAATACACTGAACAATGCTTTAGCTCGTTGTCCACATTGTCGTAAAGTTTCTTCTGTTGGTCCTGAATTTGCAAAGTTTAAAAAGAAGATATTTTTCATCATGGGTATGATATTACTAGCCATAACAATTGGTATAACTGCGGGAACTTACACAGTGGTTAAAATACATGGTGCAATTATTGTGGCTTACATAGGAGGTTTTATTCTTTCCATTTTTTGCTTGGCTAGGAGCATTTACTATTGTTTTATGAAAGTTAGTACCATTGATGGGCCCATGTAATTTAATTTATTTTGTGATATAATGGTGGTGACCTCATACTTTTCTTTTTGTAAAGATATTGTTATCTATGCAAGCTTTAGACTAAGTATAAAGTTTAAAATATGGCCATAGTAATAAAAATTGGTGTAATTTATCTTCCCTACATATTTTCTTAAAGTGAGTTAAGTTTATATGTTTAGTAAATCATTACACTGCACACTCTCGAGAAGGATCTGAAGGACTTATAATGAGTAGTGGGTAAAAATTAAATTTCAATTCTTGATTTAAAGATTGATGCCAAAGGTTTGATAATTTGTTAAAATTCTGTTTTTTTTTTTTTAATATGTATATATCATAATTCTCTNGAAGTACCTAGGTTGTCCAGCGTTTAAAGACCAAATAATTATTTCTTGTTAAGCGCAATCTAGCTACAGTTAACAATTAAATTGATGTAATAATAAATGACTTTCTCTTTTTGATTCGTTAGAATTTTTATTTTTTTAAAAAACACTATAAGTAGGTACGAATTTGTTTCAAGCTTGATTATAATGTTTCATAACATCTTGATGAAGGTACCTAGTTCGTAGAGATAAGTGGACCTAACCAATAGCTTGGATTTGTATCTAAAAGTGACTTATTTTGTGCTACTGACATACATATTACAAGTGACCTACTCCGACAAGAAATTACTGGTGGATTGAAAAATAAACCGTGTTTCTTCTGATATTTTTAAAAATATCGGCAAAATTATCACTTTATTAATGAAATAGGCAAATACACATTTAACTTGATTGTTTTTAACATCTTAAATGTATTCCCAATTTTGTACTAATATGGTGATTGTATATTAGTGTATAATACAATAAATGCATACCCTATGAATTTAATAACGTCTATGCAATTATACATTCATTATATTATTATATACATCCTTTAATCTAAAACTGTTCAGATTTTTTTTTGTTCTCGTGGAAGAGCGGAAATCTTCAAAAGACACCCAGCCGTGCGTACGACTGGGTAGTGTCGGATTCCCGAGGAAGAAGTCCTCGGACCTACTAACTAAAACCCCTCTACCTCAGGCCGTTCCAGGATCAATTAAGGTCCTCTTCAGCCGAATTGTTCTTTATGTTTATTAATCTCTTTATGTAAACGTAAAAATTTGAAGACAGAAACATAACGTTAGTCTCATATAATGTGAGCAGCTTATCAGCTATGCCATCTATACCGTGAACAAACTAAACCGTTACTTATGAAAACGAATGTCCATTGACTTTAAAAATTGATATTTACCGTTTCTATTACATCATTGCATTAATCCCCTATATATTTTGTACTTCCCCAGTCGTCCCCTATATATTTTGTACTTCCCCAGTCGTGTTACTCGGAGAAATCTGTTTTAAAAAATATTGAAGATTTTTAAAAGGTTTTATTAGGTAGAACTATACATATATACAGGCGCTTTAAATGTAGACCCACTTGAAAGAAGAGAAGTAATATCAATTTTATGGCCCTGATTGTCATAAAAAAGAGGAGCTATTATTAAAAAAATAAAAGATACTCAGAAACACATTTTTTAGCTGAAACTGATATAATTACTGCTCTTGCAATTTTTATTGTTTTTTAATGGGTATGATTTTGGTGTTTTATATTTGTATGTACGTTTATTTTGTTAACAATAATAATAATAAACACCTATAATAAATTATAACATTCGTTATCGTAAACAAATTATAATGTGAACAACTGTTGCCTTCTTCCGTTCACAGTATGGAGTGTTTACTATGACGTATAAATGCAAAAATCATTTAAAATTTGCTCCTCAATGCGGTACATTAATATTACTGCTTCGTGGTAAAAGTACAAAAGTATACAAAACCGAAAGTTGATTTTTATTAAAAACTAAGTGTACAATAGGTAATTCATTTTTCGCGTCATCTACAAATTCCAATACTTTTATAGATTAGTAAAAAACGTAAATTTAGCGTCTTCTTTTCTTATCATCTTGCTGCAATGATAAAAAAAAATTAAACAAGGAGATTACAAATAATGTTAATATTATTTCAATAGGTTTGAACCAATGTACCTTTTCACTAGCTCCTGGAAGCCCACATAGAACTAACTTATTTTTAATTTCTTCCGCATCCAGTTGTTTATATTGTGCAAGATCTTCCAAGAATATCATATAATCGTCAAACTTTATAGCATAAGCTCTATAAAGAGAATGGGTCGCTTTATGAATAACCAAATGTAAAAGTACATACTTAAACTTGCTAAAGCAAAAACCTGTATCAGTTAATGTAACGTTTTTTCCGTCAAGTATTTTTGCTTGTTTCATCCATTTATCGCTTTTCGTTAAAGTTATAGTTTTTCCATCCGCAGTCTCCTCGCCATAACGTGCAAAATTGTAAAACTGAGATTCCATGGTAAATCCACTTGTTTCCGGATTTGCTTCTTCTGCTTCGGTTGCAGTTGCCATTTTTGATGGATTTTTTTTATTTCAAAGTTTACGATATGATACGATGCTTATTATGTGTGTACACAGTAGGTTTCATTTTTAAAGAGCAAATATTCTTGATATAAAATTTAAATTCAAACTTATATTACATGCACACAAACATACATAGTAGCTGTTTAAGTCAAAAAATTGGAAAAGTCAATTTCTAAAAATAAATATTTCCGGAGTATTTGATCGCCTCCACATAATTACCGTGAGTTAAAAGTTTTTTTTTTTCTACGAATAAAGCGATAATTTTCATTAACAACTAAAGAAATATGCGACTTTTCTACGAAAAAAATAGAATAATATCACAAATCAAATGAACATTTTCATTCTTATGGATATTTTAATTGGTGACTCTGCAACAGCGTAGTAATTAGGTAATTGCACTCAAAAATATAAAAAACTGAAACAATGATTTATTGAATATCGGTATCCAAGATACGAAAACTGTTCATAATAACTACTTTGCAGCTGTTTGTTCCGTTACTACATTGAATTAAATAAGTTAATAGAACTATATCAAAATTCTATCAGGATTTCTTCGAGGGCTTTTCTCTTCAAATCTGGTACTGTACAATTTTCAGCTGGATATCCAACTGGAAGAAGTAATGACAATTTTTCGTATGTTGGTCTCCCTAAGAGCTCCCTTATTGCCGGACCACAATTTAGTGGAGTCGATACAAGGCTTACTAATCCTGCATTCTAAAAAATACCTTCTACAGTAACTTAAATCTCTTTGTCTCTGCAAACGCTTACATGAATTGCTGCTAGAAGTATTCCAGCAGATAAGCAGACACTTTGTTCGTTGTAATAATGCAATCTTCTTTGACCGTCATTTTTGAAGCTGTATGTTTGTTTGAAGATTAATATTAAACATGGAGCATCTGTCAGGTATTCCTTAATCCAATTCGTCTTTAATGGTTTTAAATCTGTTGTCCAAACTTTACCCATTCTTTTCTTGTAATTTATTTCTTCTTCTGTCTCTATAATTGTGCGTATTTTCTGTTTCATTTCCTCTGAAATGACGCAGATGTAAGTCCAAGGTTCTGTATGGGCTCCACTAGGCGATGTTCCTTAAATTTGGGCAATTTCAAAAATGTTTTTCTGATTTCAAGTGCCGCAGAATTTACAATTTACGATGTAATACAGTACCTGCTGTTTTAATTATATTATGGATTATTTTCAATGGTACAGTTTCTTTACTAAAATGTCTTACAGAACGCCTGCTATTCAATAAAACATAAAAGTCTTCAGACCTTTTCAAACTTTCGTCCACTGATAATCTTCCAAATTTCAACGGAATATGTTCTAGTTCTTCAGGCAACGAAGGTATCAAACCATCATCTTCCTCACCCTTATCATCGTTTTCAGCATGGATTCCTTTAATTAAGTAATTTAAGTATTTAAGTATTTATTATCCAGATAATATATTTACAGAGTAAATATCTACAGAGGGGGTAAGCCCTGTTTGTAGACTGGAGAGATGCTATTTTATATAGCTATATAACTTATGAATAAAATTAATAACAATAAAGTAATATGTAAAATTTAATAATTGGTAAAACTTTTTACATTTTGCATTAATGCATGTTTCATAATAATTGCACCGTCTACAGTGTTAAATATTAGCTAATAAGATTTCTTTTAAGTCGTAATTTTCATATTATAGAAAAATAGTTGAACATAACGGTTGTGTTTAAGCAAAAAGCATTTTAATGAGTGATTTCGTGGAATCAGAGGTCGAAGGAAATGAGGTAATTATAGTTACTAAATACTAAAGTACTATATAAGTTACCTATTTTGTATATTTTTTATTANCAATATCAGTGTTCGTACCGAATATAACGATTCCTAACTTTGAATTTTCCTTCTAGAACAATAAAATAATATTAAAGTGCGTTTATTTTTTGTGTTATAATCTATAAGGCCATTTGGTCCAACACTGTTTAAACAAAATAAAAAATAATCCTTAAACCTGTTGACAATTCAATAATATGTTGAAGATATCGAGTGAGTTAAACGAATTTTATTTATAAACATGTCATTAAATAAACAAATAATTCGTTAGTATTACAGCTTCTATATACTTTACTTCAAATATGTACTTCTAAATTTCCGTCAAGTAAAAGTAAACTCAATCACAAATTTAATTGTTGTTTTTATTTAGAACCTACCTAGATTTAATTATTTATAAAGATAAATTACTTACTATCAATAAAATTTTCACAATTTTCCACCTTCCAAATTTTATTATAAATGAAGCAGACAATCCGTAAAAAAGGGTACAGAATAAAGGTAAACGTTAATATGTAGTACAAATTATGACCTGAAAATGTCTTATTTACAAAGATCAAAAACAATTCCTGTAACATGATTGTACAACTACTATTAATGCAATGTAGGTATAATGTATACTTTACAAACTAATGTATGCAACATATTTACTTATATTGTTAATCAATGACGAGTTACTGACCTAAATGTATTTATTTATTTTGAAAATCATGTGACAAAGATTAACATAAGCTAGGAGAAAGAAGCAATTTCAACTTTCTCTTACAACAAAAACTACTTTTATTGCCTTTTAGTTACCACGAACGATACGAATTAACTAAATCAGGAAACATTAACTGATAATTAGTTCGGCTGATTTTGAAGATACTCAAATTTACTTCATAATAATATCAATTATATTATAGATAATTCAAATTTCATTAAAAAAATAATTTGTTTGAATAAATTCTATGGACTAGTTAGTTTCTAAAGTTACATACTCAAAAATTACAAATTAATACTTTGCTATTGTTTCTATTATCTTTAAAAAAACATTAAGAATAGTAGTTTGTGATAAATTATTACCACAGCTGGTTATTGTGGCGTACCTACGGAGGTCATTATTACGATACTAACGACCAGAATAATTAAAAGATAACTAATACAATATGTTAATATACATTTAGAGGTTGAAGGAAAACATCAGTATTTAATGTAATTTTTATTGCCCACACAGGGCACAAATATACGGATTATTATGAGGCTGAAATCCTACGAATAAACAAACGGTAAAGGTCTAGATAGGAGCTCTTCCCTACCACTTTACCATAAAAAGTTCGTGGCGATCTCACCGCCATAAAAAGTTATGGTGGTTGAAAGTTGATTATTTTGACAATTTTAAATAATTATTTTCAAGCGGGTGAAGGTGGGGGATCGAAAGAGGATGGTCACTTGAACAAAACCCGATAACATAACCTAACCTAACCTATTGATAAAGTATTTAAATAATGTTTTATATAACTTTCTCAATATTTTTATGTATTTTTCATTAGTTTTACCTTTGAATATTGTTTAAGAATGACTATATAAATATTTACATGCCTAGAAATGTACAAAAATTGGCATATTTATTAACTTTGAACCCCCATAACTTTTTATGGGGGTGAGACCGCCACGAACGTTTTATGGTACAGTGGTGGGGGAGACCTCCTCTTTCGACCCCCCCCCCACCTAAACAAACATCTTTAAGAGACTTGCTAATATTAAAAGGACTTGCTGTAAAGACAAATTATTTATCTTCAACTATAAAACAGAGACAGGATATCGCCAGGAAGTGGCATTCGCTGCTCACAGTAGTATTTTAAATTTTTAAGAAGACCCTATAAGGGTATCTACGATGCAGCTTATAAATATATATACACGTGATATAATAGGCACGTAACAAAATTAATAAAAAACATTAACCAGACGTCTGGTAACTACCAGGAACGTAACGTTTTTGATTTTTTTATTAACTTACTTACATATTTACTGCTTATTATACACATTTATAAGCGTAGTCAGCGGAGACAGTACCTCCATTCACTTTGTCAAGTAGATATCTTTGTTAAGCTTTGTCAAACATTTAAAATACTATTGTTGTAGCAAATAACACCAGATGGTGATATTTTGCCTGTTACTTGATAATATATTGTTCTCCTATTATACAACAACTTCGTATTAGTAACCCGTTTATCAATTCATTTGCCGATATTGTTTGTAGTGGTCACGAGCTGATGAGAACTAATAAGTCGACAATTGCGGTCCACGTGTAGTCCTTCTTTACGTATGAAACAGTTAAGGAAGTAAACTACATATTTACGAAATCGTAATGAATTCCTTTATTAACTGATGTCATTTACACGTATCAGTAATATAATATCGATATTATTTATTGCTTATAGGTTTTCGGAAAAGAGAGAGAGAGCGTGGTTATACACCTAAACTTTAAAATTTGAAACGAAGGAGAATTCGTACCTAATTATTAAATAAACGTGAAAATCGATTTAGCAATGTCGCGATTTAGAATAGTCCAGCAACAAGTGTGTAAGGAATGCCGTACATGCGCAAATATTTTGTTTAGATTATGGGAAGGTTTCTCAAAAGCTGTGTGCAGTATTTCTGTTCGCTAAATAAATTGTTTGAATCGTTAAAAATTCAATGTCAGGAACAACTGCGGCAATTACAGAAATATCTTGGTTGCGTCCTTGTGTATAAAGAGCGCAAATATTATGTATAAGTACGTTTAATACATCCATACATGTGTATGTTAAGAATCCATGAATGTGCAATCAAAAAATAAAAACGAATTGATATCAATATCAGTGTTCGTACCGAATATAACGATTCCTAACTTTGAATTTTCCTTCTAGAACAATAAAATAATATTAAAGTGCGTTTATTTTTTGTGTTATAATCTATAAGGCCATTTGGTCCAACACTGTTTAAACAAAATAAAAAATAATCCTTAAACCTGTTGACAATTCAATAATATGTTGAAGATATCGAGTGAGTTAAACGAATTTTATTTATAAACATGTCATTAAATAAACAAATAATTCGTTAGTATTACATGGTAATTACAAATTAATGATGGTGTAAACAGTGTTGTTGTTTCTGTTATTGTAGTAATAATAACTACTTTGCATTCCAAAACATTTATTTGCGCTGAAGATAGTGAATTAATAAGAAAATATCGATGAGAAATATTACGTAAACGAAATGGAAGCTTCAGAATTAACTGGGAACAGTTTTAAAAAGACACCTGTGCCACTTTCAAAAACACAAACATCACCGTCTATCAGAAATATGACGCAAACAGTAATAGTTTCCTTAGATGAGACTGTGAGGCATAATATCACGTATGGTAAGAAGTCAGTTAAATTAATTTTATTAATTAATTATTAATGTCTGCAAAATTTTTTAAAGAAATAGACAGCTTTTTAACTAATTTAAATAAAACTTTAATTTCCATTAATCAAATGTATTTAAATTAATGCATTTTAGTTTTGGTTTTGTCAGGCAACCTATTAAACACCTTTATGTAAGGGAATGCCTAACTGTAAACCAATGAGTTTTTTAAAAAAATTTGTTGTCTTGTAATTTTTGCGATACTTTGCAAAGTTTAATGTTAAGAAGACGCATGTTTGTGGTGAACAAACATTGCTGCCGATTTCAAAATAATTTTCGAAACGTCTTTGTAATTTATGATTACGGGATATTGTTTATCTTGAAATTTAAACATCAGCTTCTTCCCTCCTTTCATTCCGTAGGCTTGTCCTTGTCAGTAGGTGGGGGCAGATCGTCATTACGAAATCCGAACTTATACGAATAGAATGAAAATGCAGAGCTACTCGTAGTTACTGCGGGTACGCGATTGGCGGTCGTGTTTACGTTTATGTTTTTAAACCGTTATATATTTTTTTGCGACATTTGTTGTGTTAATACATTTTAGTTACTAATAATCGTTTATTTTTTTATCAGATAAGTGATGCAATTCGGATATTAACACTTGAACGACAGAATTGTGCATTAAAAAATGTGTGTTTCCCAACTTAACCTCAAATTGGGATTGACGTATAAATGTTAACCAAAAGCATAATAATAAATAAATACAATTATTATGTTAATCTTTACGATTGACGTACTTTTGCTTTTTAATTTGAATATTATAACAGTATGTGTTTATGATCTACTTTCGCTATTCATTTTGAATAATATGCTGAATAATGACGTCTCCTTTATGAAAAAATTGTGATAAATTGTAAAAAATAGTGATAAACAATTGTTATTACTTCGAATGTACAATACTATTAGAAAAAATGCGTTACCATAAAAAGACTAAAGAAAGTGGATTCTTCGAAGGAGACTCATCTGAAAGTGAATGGTGCACAATGGGAAAGGCATTGAAAAGAACTAAAGTTTTTACTACATCATCTAGTGATTTAAATAAGAAAATTGGTGATAAAAGCGAATACACTTCAGAAGAGTTGGAAACACACATAAAACAGACCGAATGGTCTAAAAAAGGTATTTTTTTACCTGTATATTTGGTCATTTATGTCGAATTGTACATGATATCCTGATAATATGATAATACTTTTACTTCATAATTCTCTCAAACAATATATAGTTGCGTATAAATTAAATCAGAATAATATAGGTAGGCATTATGTTTATTTTTCAAGCTTTTCTTTATACGCAAAAATAACTTGCGCAATTGATACCTGGTAATAAAAAGTTTTTGCTACAAATTAATATTTAATAGGTACCTAGGTATTGAATGAAAAACAGTAAAACGCTAATTAAATAGAATATCATAATTTTGCTATAATTAGATCTAGTACATTTTTGCAAGGAGACGGGCCTTTTTGTATTATCTTTAAAAGTATTGTTTTCGTGTACATCTTTGGAAATTGCTTTTTAAATAGCTAGTGCACTTAATGCATTTAACAATGTTTCATAAAAGGCAAATAACGATATAAATCACTTATTTGTAGGTAGATACATACGTATTTTCTTAATATTAAGGTCAAGGTATTATTGTTATACTTTTTTTATGATGAGAACCAAATGTTACTAGTTATTCCAGCCAGTTCTAATGTACCGTATCAAAAAGTCTTAACAAAATACCCAATTGAAGGAAGTACCTAGGTTGTCCAGCGTTTAAAGACCAAATAATTATTTCTTGTTAAGCGCAATCTAGCTACAGTTAACAATTAAATTGATGTAATAATAAATGACTTTCTCTTTTTGATTCGTTAGAATTTTTATTTTTTTAAAAAACACTATAAGTAGGTACGAATTTGTTTCAAGCTTGATTATAATGTTTCATAACATCTTGATGAAGGTACCTAGTTCGTAGAGATAAGTGGACCTAACCAATAGCTTGGATTTGTATCTAAAAGTGACTTATTTTGTGCTACTGACATACATATTACAAGTGACCTACTCCGACAAGAAATTACTGGTGGATTGAAAAATAAACCGTGTTTCTTCTGATATTTTTAAAAATATCGGCAAAATTATCACTTTATTAATGAAATAGGCAAATACACATTTAACTTGATTGTTTTTAACATCTAAAAGAGTGCAAATTTGTTTATTTAGTTAGGAGTGTATGTAGCTATTGAACGAGATTAAAAACTGCTACGACAGTTATTAAGAATAGTTTTTAACTATTTTATTTTTATTTCAGTTAATCTGTCCGGTGTGGGACGAGTGGATATGTCAAACTTTGAACTTCTAAAAGTCCTTGGAACTGGAGGTATGTGTCGATTTATTATTTCTATGTGAAAATCCAATTTTAAATTTACACGAATTTCTTAAAAGTAATCAAAATTGAAACATCTATTTGCATAAAAAATGCTTTGTAAAAGTTTAATTATTTTAAAGAATTGTTCACTTTGTGTGACATTGTTATTGTTAAAGCAAAATGCATTGAAATTAGGAATATGGACGTTTTCGAACATAATACGTATATATGTTGGTTTAATAATATTTTCGATTAGTGTTTGACGACCAAGCAGTTTATTAATAGTTATAACCTTTGCTTTTACTTTGTTCAGATGATAAAGAAATGTTTTTGCGTTTCGGCTGTCGTTGCACTCTCAACAACCCACCTTCATTCAAAAATACACGGTTTTGGCGAATTTATAACCGCATGGAAACGATATTGTTTGCTGCGATTTAATTCTGAAATAAATAAAAATTTGAATGATTGCATTTACTTTCTACACCATACACAGATGTGTATTAGTTGTAGGTACCTACATATGTACTTAATGAGTACTTTTATAGCTTGTATATGTATTTTTAAACTGGTACAATATACCCAGTGCAATTATTTTTAAATAGTTATGCAGTATTTACGTGACCTACTTGTGAGTTCTTTTATTTAAATTTCATAGTCTTTTAAAATCTTCGCAAAACTAAAAGGGGTAAATATTGTTTGGATAATTCATAAACGTGAACATTGTTTTTCTAATTTTTTTTACGCATGTTTTTATAACAAGAAATATAAATGTAGTAGTAAGTAATGTTCAAAGCACATACCTAATTGTATTTGTGTAACACATTACCAATACAAGGTCGTATCATGTATATTATGTATTGTCGTTTACTGCTTTGGGTTAAGAGTTAAGGTCGTTTTAAAAATAGAATTTTATTAAAATAGGTAAATAGGTGCATATATGCACATAATAATTTTAATATAAAATATCTACATTAAAAGAGAGAGAAAAGTTAGAGAAGGTTAGAAATGAAAAGGTATTAGAAAGAATATGAGAACAGAAGGCGTCAGTAAGAAATAGGCGAGATAGATTGGTAGACAGGTTTGGCATGTTTAAAACACGTGTTTTAAATACAATCTAAATAATGCATGTTCTAAATTAGTGTTTTAAACTGCGATTAAAACACTGTTTCCAAACATCACATGTTAAACATTATTGAAATTCTTTCGGCTAGAGTAAAAGTACTTGCAAAGGTCACTAGTTTTACAATACCCCTTTTATTTGTACACTTTCAAAATACTACTTTTCTTCTGGCAGGTCTGAGCAGGTCTGGTTCAGCTAAAACCTTAGTATCTATTTGAAACCTTTTCCCTTTCAACTGATCCTTGGATTTGATAAAGAGTAAAGGCACAGGGAGCTAGATAAGAACTATAAGCAGGAATTTCAAGTACTTTTACTCCACCGCTATCCAAAAACTTGATTCATGCATGGGTGCATTATCGTGATGAAAATGCTAAATGTCCATTTTCGAATTTGGTTGAATTTCTTGAAGCTTGGACAAAAAGATTTCGTTTATTTACCAAGGGGTGGTTACAGTACGTTAACTTTTCAATACTATTCGTTCCAAAATACCCCGCCGATTATTGATACTATTTGAAGTACCAGATTCATGCTTTTAACTTTTTTTGACATTAGTTCATTCTGACGTCCCTCGAGATCGTGCGGCACCTATAGCGTACAAACTTTTTTACTTCAAAATATCCTCTAACTATTCGTGCTGTACGTCGATTTTCCTTTAACAATTTTGATACTTTTACGACGTTTTCTGAACGGAACGCCCTGATCTTGGAATGACATCAAAGTTACCACGATAAACTATTGTGCGATATGGACATTTTTCACTCAAAACAATTTTCATTTCTTTTACACACTCATCTACGGGCAACTTACGGAGAAAGTTGTAATGCATAAAAACGCACGGGTCGTCACTCGACCACTTAGACATTTTATTTATTTAGAAATATTATTATCAGCTAACTAGACAAGTAATATCGACTTATATGTATACGAACTGTCAAGATATTAACTGAAGTTTAAGATAATAACATATCTAACTACCCCTTTAGTAGAACTAATGTATTGTAAGACCTAACTGGTGGACTTTGTATTGGTTATACATAGTAGATATCAAAGAAAACATCTCACAGGGTGGGCATGTTTAAAACGCTACTAGAAACACGACTAACTAATGACGATAAAAAAAATGTTTAAAACAAGTTTAAAACGTGTTCAAAATAAATGTAAAAAAAATTAAAACATGAACACATGTCTAAAACATTTTGAACTGTTTGTTTCACAAATGAAAAACTGTTAGAGGGAGGAAGGACTAGTTAGAGACATATTTGAAGCAGAAACAGTAGTTAATAGGGGTAGAGGTAGACCTAGATTATATTATTGTTTACAAATAGTTAAGAAAGTGGGATGCTCTAGTTTTAGAGAAATACGAAGATAGGAAAGAATGGAGGTGCCGTTCTTATGATAATGATGATGTAACGTGTGAGGATCCTAATTAAATATTCAATGCAATGTTGACTCTTTTTTTATATATAGAAATAGATTCTGGTACAGGGTAGCCTATTAAAAACAATAAGTGCAATTCTATACCGTCCAGCATGATATTTGTATAAAAAGCTCATCGTAATCATTCTCGATATTGGTTGTAAGGGGGACATCTAAATTCAATGTTTTCATTCATGTTACTACAACCCCAAAGGCCTTTTAATTCGCTGTTTTTTGTAATCGGACCATTAACCTCCGAGAAAATGCGCCTTCAAGATATCATTAATTAAGATTTTTTCTTGTGGGGACATTTAAAAAGTAAAATTTATGTAACAAAACAGAATTTTTTAGGAGAATTACTACAGCGTATTGTAGAGAAATGGCGTCAAATTACTCCACAAACCATGCAGAATGTTCAACAGCGATTTGAGTAAAACCTTTATTGTTGCATGGAAGTTGACGGTGGTCATTTTGAATTTTTGTTAATTTGACATCTAGAAAGTTACATTTGGACGATTAAAAGTGCACTGAAGCTAACACTAATTTCTCTTTACTCTTGTTAATATGGCATAATTAATGTTATTTTGAAGCCGCATTTTCTCGGAGGTAATAGTTCGACTTCAAAAAGTCAACTGGTAATTAAAAGACCTTTGAAATGGTGTGTAGTTTGACTTGACCTGCCGTTTAAAAATTCAAGTATGCTCTCCCTACCCACTTTGCAAACACTGAATATAGATGCCTCCCTTATAACCAAAATTGACGTGTTTGAGCTAGATGGTATAAAATCGCACCTACCGTTTTTAATGGGCTACGTACCTAAATAGGTAACAGAAATTTTTTGACAGGTAGAGAAGTAAGTACCTACTTCTGTATTGTTAAAATTATTAAAAGAAATGCTGAAGGAACAGTAATAAAATAAAATTGAAAAAGTCTGAAGAATGTTTTATTTTTGGAATAGACGAGTGAGGGAGTTGCGTATAGATGTAGGTATTTTATCAACTGACACACATGTGGCCTTTGGGATGAGATGGGTCATTAACCTTCTAAATCGTACCGTATATAGTCATATGTATACGTATATATGTCATAGACAATGTAATTAAATAGCGATTATACATAATGGTTGGACATTATGTATACGGACTAAATTGTGTATATAATTTGATAAATTAAATACTTTACATATTATTCATAGTTCATTAGTTGGAGTTGGTTAAAGTCATAAGCGTGTATACAGCAGTGGTAAATTGAGAACCGTGTTCGCTGTATGGGACATTTTATTGCATGCAATTATCAAGGGCGGCATCATCTTTTGTAAAAAGGTATAGTCTAGGCCAGTGTAAAACAGATTGTTTACAGTGGGTGTGTTCTTTAATTTTTGTGTTTTTGTTTGTTTTTTTTTGCTTTTTTTTGCTTTTGATTTTAATTGCTGTTACTGTCACCGCTACTTTTTAATCTATACATCGAAGACGCCATCAACATCATTAAGGACAGTACAACTGTAGGGATAGATATATAGGGGCAAAAAATTAGTATGCTTAGATTTGCAGATGATATACTTGTATTAGCATCTAGCAAGGGGGAGTTAGAGATAGCTTTAAATAAAATGGAAGCGGTATTGACAAAACAATACTGTACGAAAATAAATAAAAGTAAAACAAAAATATCGGTATGCAAGGGAAGAAAAGGTAGGGAAAGAGCGAATATAAGGACAGGAGACGAAAAATTAGAAGAAGTGACTGATTTTAGATATCTAGGAAGTCAGATAAGTCAGGACGGAAGGAGTAGTAGGGATATAAAGCAGAAGATAGCGCATGGTCGTGTCGCTTTTAATAAAAAGAAGCGACTGCTATGCTCGCGAACGGTTAATTTAGAAATTCGAAAAAGGTTGGTAAAGGTGTATGTTTGGAGCACGGCGTTGTATGGGTGCGAAACAGGAACAGTGGGCGCGGCGGAAAATAAAAAGTTAGAAGCCATTTAAATGTGGTGTTATAGGCAAATGATGAGGATAACGTGGGTAGAAAATGTTAGAAATGAAGAGGTATTAGAAAGAATAGGAGAACAGAGGACTCTGTGGAAGTTAAATAAGAAATAGGCGAGATAGGTTGGTAGGACACCTTCTTAGGCATGAAGGTCTAGTCAGAGACATATTAGAGGCAGAAACAGGAGTTAGGATGGGGTAGAGGTAGACCTAGGTTAAATTACTGTTCACAAATAGTGAAAGATGTAGGTTGTTCTAGTTTTAGGGAAATGGATGGAAAAGGATAGGAAAGAGTGGAGGTACGTGTCCAACCAGTCTTAGGACTGACGACCCTATGATGATGATGATGATGATGATGATTTTAATGACGCTTTAAAAAATCCACCATTACAATATTATTTTCGCGAACCCCCTCTGTAAACACTGCGAACCCTCAGGGGTTCGCGAACCACCGGTTGGGAATCACTGGTCTAGGCAATATGAGTGGAAAAAATT